AGTTGGCTATTATGTACCCATAATAATTGAGAAAAAAAGGACACATATAGAACTTTATATGTGCACCCAAATGTATTTTCATGAAAACTAATAAAAATATTTTGGATATTTCAGAAATAACTTTTAAGAACAGCAATACTCTTTAACATTTTGCCAGTTTAGTATCTTCAACAAATTCTACAGTTCCATGGCTTTAGTTATCTTAACAATTAAAATCATTCCTTCTCTATCCCTATCTCTTATCTTGAAGACTAGTTCTACAGTTCTACCTGCCAGGGGAGTTTCTTTGCATGAGCATATACGTAAGTCAAATAAGCAGAAAGTTCATTACCTTAGATTTTTAAACAAGCCCTCAAGAGATAAAACTGCGACAGAGAAACAGAAAGCAGAAGGTTTAGTTTGCCTAAATTTTTTTTCTGATAGAAATTTAAATTTGTCCAAAAATAAAATGAGCTACCCTGAAATGCACTAAGCTCCATATCATAGGCCATATTAAAACACAGTCTTGATAACAACTCGTCAGGGGATAGTAGAGCAGAGATTCAAATACCAAAGAATTGGTCAAATAGATAACCTTTCAAGTCTCTCTTAATCCTGAGATTTTATGATTCTATAAAATCATTGCCATTCCTTTCTCTCATAATATAAATATTTTTTAAATCTTCCTTTACCACTAACGCTTATGTGATTTACTTCTTTCTATTACGTATAACACCTATGCTTTATTTCCTGATGCATTCTTCGACAGTAAATTTACTTCAACAAGTGCATTTGATTTATTTCTCCTCATTTTGGTTTTTAAATACCTTTTTCCTCTCAGTAATATCTACAATTATTAATTCTGAATAACTCAAAAATCTCTCTAAAAGGAGACAATAACTTTCTATGCTTACCCAGTCTACAAATAAAAATTTGGCAGCTTTGTTCATATTGAATAGATTAACTTTGGTTGTTCCAAAATAGTTTACTTAACCATTGAGATTGAAACACTTGTTTACTTCAAAAATAAGCTGAGATTTCATTTAATGGATGCCTGTAAAGTGCTTTAAAATGTTTTAGTGAAACAGGATATAAAAGATCAATGTCTAATTGAATATCTTGTAACTTCTCCATATTTATAGCTTATGAAATCTATGCCGATTCTACTACATTTTACAAGATGCTTCATAAAAACAAAATTACCAGTTGACTAGGAACTTTTTCCATATGATATGAAATGTTTCAAAAGTGTTTCTTCTATGGAGGTATAGGAAGATCTATACAAATAAACATTTCTATAAGTATGTAACTCTCAGTCTGAATTGTTCAATCTTTTGAATTCTTTCAATAAATACTATTTCCAAACAGAACAAAACTAAAAACAATAATTTATCTTATATCATATACCATATTTTATTTGCTTAATTTTTACAGCCTATATTCCCATTTATAAAATGTGTATAACTATATTTTCAATTATTTCAACAGTGGTATATCAAAAGTTAATCAAATAAGGTTGTACTTTGTTTTCTGTTGATTATCAAACAAGCCAAATTTTGTTGGCTTGAAAATTATTTGGAATGGACAAAGGAAAAAAGAGATAGGCTTCATGAATGTTTATATAATAGAAAAAACAGATGAATACAACATGTAGAGGACATAGGTATGCTGAACATAATCACAGATTACTGTATTCAGAGTTTGGAACTTTCTTAAGTGAATAATCCATTATACAGCAAACAGTTCTCCAATACTACTTCAATTAGTGTCAAATATTTTAAAAAGTTCATTATTTTATTCAAACCATTAGAGTCAATAAAATATATGTTAGACAAAAAAATGTCCATTTTAGGTATTTTAATATCATTGTTCCTCTCTGGAAAATGACAGAATAGTTAAAAGGAAACAATTTGAAATACTGTAATGTCTCTGTAACTTAAAAAGATATACCAATCAGCAATATAGACATGTTTAATTTTTGTTGAACTAAAAATTGCATCTTATATGTTATTATTATATTTTCCTTTTATCCATTATGCATCATTAGTAAAGAACATCTTTTTTTTTTTTTTAACGAGAGTTCCCCTTTTCACAATGTAAATTATGTTTGGCAAAATAGAACTAGGGACATGCAAATGTCTTTGCAGAAAGCATTAAAAATTCACAACATAGAATCAATGATTCATCAAATCACTTGCCCACAACATTTTTATCTGGCTTGCAATAGTTGTATCGAAAGTACTCACTTTTAACATTAACAATTAATTCTAGCTATTCAATGTTCTGTAGCTCCCCATACCATCAGACCATACCAACATCTGCTCAGAGTAAATATATTAATATAATTCAAAATTCTCTCATCAACAAATAACCTTGAAAATCAAATAAAATGAAAATACTTCCTAAAAAGTTAAACAAACTCAAATATTTTAGAAATAATATTGCCTGATTTCTTTCAGGGTTACTCTAAAATCCTCTATATCTGAGGCTCAAGGGGCATGTGTGTGATTTCACACTTGCCCACATAGAATATGGTGTACCCAAGAGTGATTCGCCTCAAATTGGGCAACCACCTGAGAAGACCAAAACATCTCTGTGACTCATCAGCCTACCAATGCAGTTTGGTTTCTCCTAAATCTGACTGGTTTGTTGCAGGGATGTACTCCTTTCCCAACCTTTTCTGAATATGCCGCTCTCTTTATTTATTTATTTATTTTTGTATCTACCACTTTAAGGCCAATTTTGAGACCTAGTGAGTGAAGCACCTATGATAAATGTTCTTTCCACATCCATGTCTTCATATATGTAAAATTCACATGGCAGAATTTATTATCCCAGAAAATACCGAGGATAGGTTTGGAATTCATGCCAGTAGATCTGAAATATTATATTTAAAAAGAATAGATTTTAATATCATGGCCATTTTATCAATTTCTCGGTTCCTGTAGATACTTTACTAATCTTAAAAATGAACGCTGAATATTTTAAAGAACAAATAGAAACATTATAAATACGATATATACATATAGATCATAATATGTATGTAGTCTAATCTCACACTTTATAAAGAACCAACACTGCTGCCATACTGAATTTGGGGTGTGTTGTGTGTTTGTGTATATGTGTGTGTGTGTGTGTATATCTCAAAAAATTCCACAGGCCCTGGTTCTCTCTGTAAACAAATCTATCCCCTCCTTTCTTTTAATATGGGTAATATGGACACTAGATTTTTGGTATTATATATCTAGAATATGGACTAACAATGGTATAAATTGCAGTAACTAGAAAATCTACCAGATAAAGTCTAAAGTCATATCTTCAGGCCTTTCTCTCAAAGGTTTTTATATACAAAAGAGTACAGTTTCTTTGCAAGAGGTAAGTTAGAGTTCCTTTGACAGCGTTCAAAATCAGGGTCAAATTCATTTTACGTCTACAATTATAAAAGCAATAACAACCTCACTTGTCTTGGACAATTTATTCCATTCACTTCAGGAAAGAATGGCAAGAGATACAGAGATGATTCCCCAGACTACCTCCTATTCAGTTTGGGACTTAGTGGAAGACTGCCCTCTTTCCAACACAGTCGCTGATGAAAGGGATCTATTAAAAAGAACTGCGTTGGTTTACACTGCAGATTGAATGGAGCATTAAATGACTGCATTAGTATGACTGCAGTGGGGGTAATGGTCTGCTCTATGATGTTGTAATAATACTTTCACATAGGTGCAATAATTGTTCAAATGTCCTTATCTAATTTGTCACGAAATGGTATCCAGCATCTCTCTAGCAAATGCACCCCCACACTCCCTTTATCGCACAGTTTTATTTCTCCCCCTTTTAGCAAGTGTAAACAGATGAGGAAATGTGTACTTTCAAATTGTCACATATGTATCCTGAAGGTGGGGGATGACTGCAAATCGCTTGGAAAATACTCCTTGGAGGCTGTTAGAGATACCGTCCATCAGTACATCTCAGATGTTCTTAATTCGATTCCCCCCACCGCCACCCCCCGCCAGTTTGGGCTGTAATTTTCCAGCCATCTCTCATTTGCAAATTAAAGTTAAAATCAATCCACAGATACAGAATGCTGACTTCCTGACACTCAATTTTACAGGGTTTCTCTTTGTAGAGCTAGCAGATCATGACGAGGGAGGGGAGGAAGAGGGAGAGGGGGAGAGGGAGAGAGATCACTTGCTTCCTTGCTTCCTAAACCGGGATTTGCCGGCGATGCGCGGCGAGAGGACTGCGGCGGCTGATTTACACAGTTGGCGCGGAGGAGGGGCCGGCAGTGCGGGGGGGACGAGCTGGCGGAGGCTCCGGCGATGGGCTGATCTGGGGGCTCCCGAGCGCCGCTCCCTCGGTGAGCGATTTGGGGGCGGCCGATGGATTTGCATTCGGGTTCCAGCCCTGCGTTCCCTATATTGACTCTTGATACCCGACCTGGCGCTCCCGGTTCAGGAGCAGGCGTTGGTAAGTAACGTATAATCCGATTTTAGTTATTTCCTAGGCCATCAAAGTGGCACTTTTAAAGCAGGTCAGTCTTAAAAGATGCCGCCGCCGCTGCCGCTGCCGCGAGCGTCTCCTTGGCCTGAAACGTTCGGCGGTCCCCTCCCCCACCCCTCCCCGCCCCTCCCCTCTCCTGCCCTCCCCTGGGGCCAGAGCCCGGGGCCGAGAGGCCCGAGAGGAGAGGCGCGTGGGGGAGGTGCCGGGCTCATCTCCGCCTCACGTAAC